AGAGAGGCAGGCTGTTGGAGGCTGGAGAACAGCGCAGCCCCGAATGAGCAGAGCCTCCTCGGAAACCAGGTGAAGAAATGGGAATTGCGTTTGGGCCGTTCCCGCCCCGCAGCCGGCCAGGACAGGGTCCCCACCAGCCCTCCCCCCAGCCGGGGGCTTTGGGCCCTATTCCCTGCGCCTTTGGCATTGACGCGCCGGGTGCGCGCAGAGACGCAAAAGCTCTGCGAGGGTAACCCTTCTCACTCATTCATTTTAATTCATTCGTTTGCTCGTTTATTCATCCCTTCATTCTACAAACTAAGCGCCTGCCCAGGGGCTGAACCTGGTAACCCCAAGAGAGGGGAGAGGGGGAGACGGCAGTGACCTGCAAGACTGGCCGGCGTCTGAACGCTGCGGAGGGGGCAGCGGGCGCGCAATGCGTTACAGCAGGGGAAAGCCGCTAGGAATCCAGGGGCAGGGCGCGGAGGTGGCCACAGCGCCCCCTTTCGGCCGAGCCTCCAGGGTAGGGTCAGCCGCCTGGCCAGACCTCGGGTCTTCATCTGCCTGGGCTAATTAGCTCCCAAGTGCACCCCAGCTCTGGAGAGCAGCTCACGCCTCCTCCAGTCCTTAAATGTTCCCCTCCAGCGCTTCCAGCTGGACAGAACTGACTTCTCCTACCTTTTTCCTTCCGTAGCCTCTCCTGGCGGAGCACGGTTCCAGAGTGGTGGCTTTGAAATCAAACTCTGAACCTAACTGCCTTGGCTTCTGTGCCCTGCTGTGCTCACCCTCATCCTCCCTTCCATCCACTTCTCAGCACATTGGAACACAGCCAGTGCGTTCATGGGTCCAACTGGTTCTTCATTTAGAAAGGGAGTTATTTTAAGAGGTTTTTTTGATCCAATATGCAATTTACTCATGAGGACACTGAGGCCCACAGACGGTGGTGTCTAAAGTCACAGAGCTGATAAGCCTAGTTTTCAGCCTCCTGATTCCCAGCTCCACCTGCCCTGATGAGGTTTGGGGTTCTGAAATGGGGAGGGACGTTGCCCTGGAAGCCAGCTGGTCACACTGGCTTAGGCACACAGGGTGGCACTTTCTAGATGAAGCACTCAGTCTAGACTAGAGTCTTGCAAAACCCCCCTTTGGTTAGTGCCCCAGAGTTGGTCTTGCTGAATTTGGCACTGACTCACCCCAACCAATCCCAGAAGAGATGGGTGCACTAACCAGATTGCCAATTTATTGTTCTCAACAAAATTGGCAGGTGGTCTAGTGCAGTGCAGGTTCTGGAGTCAGACAGCCTGAGTTTGAGGCTTGGCTCTTCTGCTTACAAGCTGTGTGGGCCTGGGAAATTATTTAATAGTACTTCAATTTTCTGATCTTTAAATATGTTTTTTTTAAAAAATGATTTTAGAGGGAGAGCAAGGGAGAGGGAGAGAGAGAGATATACATCAATGAGAGAGAAACATCAACATTGAGATCAGCCGCCTGCTGCATGCTCCCCTCCCCACTGGGGATCGAGCCTGCAACACCAGCGTGTGCTCTGACCTGGAACTGAACAGGTGCATGGGTCAACGCTCAACCACTGACCACACTGGCTGAGCCAATTTTCTTGTCTTTCAAATGGGGTTAGGAATACCTACCTCATAGGTAGGTTTAAATGAATTATTATTTTTAAATGGCTTAGACTGGTGCCTGGTCCATAACAAGGGCGTAAAGAAGGTTAGCTATAGTCACCATCCCTATCATCATCATCATTATCAAGGTGACCAGATGCTCAAATGGATGTGCAGCATGGTCCCTCTCTCTAGGCCAGTTGTTCTCAACCTTCTGGCCCTTTAAATACAGTTCCTCATGTTGTGACCCAACCATAAAATTATTTTCGTTGCTACTTCATAACTGTAATGTTGCTACTGTTATGAATCGTCATGTAAATATCTGATATGCAGGATGGTCTTAGGCGACCCCTGTGAAAGGGTCGTTCGACCGCCAAAGGGGTCTCAACCCACAGGTTGAGAACCACTGCTCTAGGCAATTCTTTGTGGAAAGCAGAATTCCTGATGAGAAGGTCACAGCAGCAGGAGGTTGTGGAATCAGAGGAGAGAACGCTGGCAGGTCCTCAGGGAGGTTTTCCCAGACACTGCAGAGGCATCACTCCCCAGCCCTGCCCGAGACCTTGGAGCTGGCTCTCCTGGACCAGCAGCTCTAGATTTCATGTTTTTCTCTGCTTATTAAACATCATCAACTTTTGTCTTTCTGAGCTCCTTAATCTTCCTCTGACTTGATCTTTAAATATTCTAATGCCATCGATCAGGCTGTAATCAAGTCTTGCTCTTGCTGCCTTTTTGGCCTGGAATTCAGACCTTCCCTTTCTAAAGAGGCAGCTACAGATGGCACATTTTATCCTCTTTCTCCCCCTTGAGCTGAAAGGAGGAAGGCTACTGTATCACTTCATGACCTACTTATTTATGGTTTTGGCCTTGACCGCCTCAGGGGGGTTATGAGAGCCCCGTGTTTAACACCCCTTCTGAGAAAGGATTCCATATCTCCTTTCATTTGTCCTGAAACTGCATCCTTCCGCCTTCAAGATCCCAGCTCTCATCTGCTCAGATGCCATTGCCAAGGCCTTCCATGTTTACGCCCTTTCAAACTCCCCCCTCCTCCAGCCCCTCCAGCCTGCTGGCTTAGGGTGATCTCCTCAGGGCAACCTGTCCGCACAGTCCTCAGGGCAGCCTTCTGCTCCATTCCAGCCTTCTCTTCCCAGATTGACCCTTCCCCCCCAAACTCTCTTCTGACCTACCCCCCCCCCCTCCTTCTCCTCTTCCTGTTTAGGCCCAAACTACTGACAGCTTTTATTTCCTTAACCTGCCAGATTTGGGGAAATATGAGAAATCTGAACAGGAATAAAAGACAATTCCATGTCCTTCAGATGTGATAACAAGTAGTGATGGGTGGGACCCAGCAAGGGAGGGCTGAGTCTCTGGGATTCCGTTGGCTTTAACCATGAGTGTTCTAGTGAGGTCGGCGATCTGGAACCATACTTCTCAGCCTACTTGGGCCAAAGAAAAGGCTATTGATGTTTAAATTTCTAATCTATTGCAGAATGATACTATCGCAAAATACAGTGGGGATGAATTATTAGAAAAATGACATAAAAAGAAAGACATACAAAATAAAAGTCCAGTTTTTAAAACTATTAGGTCTAATGGACATAAAACACTGTCAAATTGCTTAAAAATGTCTAACTGCTCACTCAGTTTCTGTGCTTACCTTATCACAAACTGGCAGCAAATAGTTTGCAGACAGGTCATGCTTGGACTAACACTGGTCTAGAATGCTTCTGAGGTATGAGGTCAGGAAAATGGCAGCTTATAAAACTGCATGAACATCAGGGGAGATGGTGTCAATTACTCCATTCATCTGTGCGTTTATTCGACAAACATTTAATGAGCAGCAACTATGTGCCAGTCACTGTTGGATGCTAAGGCTAATAAAGACTAATAAAACAGGGCCCTAGCCCTCAAGATGTTCACAGACTGGAAGAGGAGACAGCCGCTTTAATGAATAATTAAAAGCCAGTAAAATTAGGTCAATAATAGACTGTGGGCATGGAGGCAGAAATATTAATTCTGCCTGGGGTCGACAAAAAAGGTTCTACCTTTTGTTCTGGGGTCTGGAGGCAGATCTTTAATCCCACATGGCCAACTGGCATTCCATAAATAAGTTAACTTGTGTAAAATGCTTAGCACGGTTCCTGGCACATACTGAATGCTTCCAAAGTATTAGCTATTTTTATTATTAAATCTAATACATTGTCATCATCATTGTCAATCATCATTCGTCTAGATCTACCAAGCACTATGCTGAACTTGGCTTGGGGCTGCGGGGTTATAGGTAGCTTGGCTGAGGGAAGAGGGCAAACTGGTCTTAACCCTGCCCCTTTGTCAGAGGGAAGATCTTGTAGAGGAGGTGGGAGTTGGGTATTGAAGGAAGGGGGTATGAACAGGTGAAAACAGAGGGAGACCTTCAAGGCAGGAGGGTCCCTTAGAGGCACACAGCCAGAGGAACAAGTATGGGGCCAGGGGAGGAGACTGGTCTTATGGGGACACGTGATGGGGGTGCAGTGACTGGGCAGGCCCAGGAGAGGTGGAGGCAGACAGTGCTGGGCTGAGGATCTCCTTGGATAACGGGCTTGAAATTATTCATTCTCTCATTTAGAACAACAGATAATAGCAATGCCAATTAAGGTTTGTATGACAGATGGTAACATGCAAAGCTCTTTCACAAACATTTTCTCATTTAATCCTTATAACAACCCCGTGAAGGAGGTATTAATAACCTCACTTTACAGATGAGAAAGCTGAGCTCAGAAGCCGATCCTTTGTCCAAGGTCATACAGCTGTCTTTGGCACAGGACGCGTTGCAACCTGATGTCCGCAGCTCCCGCTCCAGATATTTCCCAGGGTACCACTGAAAGGTGAA